GGGGGCGGAACTGCGCATGCGTGGTGCTCCCGGGCAGGGAAATTCCTCGACTTACGACCGGTTGGGTAGTCCTCGACTTACGACCGGTTTAGTCCTCGACTTACGACCGGTTTAGTCCTCGACTTACGACCGGTTTAGTCCTCGACTTACGACCGGTTGGGGTCGCGGCATTAAAAAGGTTGAGAACAACTGTTTTAGATAATACTAAGGACCAGGGCTTTTTTTCTCATAGAACGCCCAGAACGGAGTTCCGGCACCTTTTTTGGATGGAACCTTGTAGGGGAGGCAAGGCGGGTTGTATGACGTGTGTGAGTTCCGGCATCTTTTTTTTTTCTTTTTTTTTTTTTAGAAAAAAAGCATTGCTAAGGACAGATCTGGGCTATGAGCAGGTCTTTTTGTCAAGAATATTCACTTGCTGTACCACGTTTTGCCACAAGATGTCCTCAATAGCATTTAAAATCTTTTTCAAATCCCATGCTAGGTTTTTGTCCAATTTAAGTTCTTTTTGATCTTTTTTACGAGTAGATAGAGTAGCAAATCCCCATGAAAGAAGGAACTTTTTGGGTCCCTGAATATCAAATAGATGCAAATCCAATTATTTAGTTGTTCTTTTCAAGGCTTTATGTCCCAGAGGTAGACAAACGCCGCCATTTTAGAGGGTGGGAGGAAAACGTTCCCTTCCATCTCTCCTCACAGGGGGAAGCAATTAAGAAGCTTTTTACAGGAAGATACTTGGGGTACAAAGAAGGTAAGATTTCACCCAATTCCTCCGCGGTGCTTTCGAAGTGCTTGTTAGTAATTTTGGCCTCGTCTGGTAGCGGCTTAGTGATGGGCCATGTTAATGGCCGATCTTTTCCCTGTCAGTTCAAAGAGTTGCCTGGGATCAAACAGGAAGGCTACCACCCTTCCGCGATCGCTCAGGAGTCCTCTTCACGCTCATCGCCCCTCCAGGGCAACTTCCGACCCTTTTCAGGGTCCCCCGGAGGAAGCGATCGCCCCGCACGTCCGCCGGCGCTGAAATCACAAACCAGAAGCCTCAGACATCTTGTTAATGATGGGAACTTAGTATGCAAAATGAACCCTGGAGACACTGGGGATAGCCAGGAGTGGACCAATTAAAACCCCACCCCCCAATATTAGGTCTCTAACAATACCCAGGGTGCACAGCTACTCCTTTGCTAATGCCCAGCTTCACCCCCATCAAACAGGTGGGGCATCCCGTAGCCTGCCAAGTGGGTGAGGGTTTCTAAAAAGCAAAAGGCAGGGTTGAGAGCAGGGGTTTTTGGGGCTTTTTTTACCCACCATAACCGAATAGAAAGTTTTGCCAGATAGGCTGCTATATTAGGCAAAATAATATATTTTTAAAAAAAAAAGATTTTTCACATCTAACTTTGTTTAGGGAAGCCCACAAGCCTGGCAGATCATCCACTTTTCTTATCTTCCAAAAAGGAGGAAAAAAAAGGAGTTGCAACTCTCTCCCACATGAATAGAGGGCATCAAGGTTGCCCCTAGGAGTTCATCTAGAGTACTGCAGGCCAGAAAGAGTAGTTTTAGCCCCTCCCCTCCCCACTTCTACCAAGGTTTGTTCTCTGCATCCTCTTGAAATCCTTCCCTACTTTTCATTCTTCTATGTTCAGGGATCTGCCTGCCATCCTGTGGACAAAGAAAAACGTTGCAAAATAGCACATTTTTCCCAGGGGAAACAAAAAATAAAGCAACACAGAACTAATCCCATTGCAAAGAAGCAATTGTTCTAAATAAATCTTGCTTTTCAAATCCGAGCCTTCCCTCCTTTCAGGCTGAACGAAGACGAGCCTCAACAGACGAACCAACAAAGACCGCTCCTGCTATAAATACAATTTAAATAAAGGTCATAAACTCCTTGAGTTATACACAGTGCTAAGTAGTAAATCTAAGAAGCAAAGTCTTCCAGGGAGCGGAATAACGGAACCTCCAGCTTTAGGGGCAGTATACCTGATGTTCTGCCTAGAGGGGACTGGAAGGAGATACGTGGCTGGATTAGAGGGAGATTTTTGGGTGCTTTTTATGGTCGGTTGGGGTGGCATTAAAAAGACTTGACTAACTGACCAACAAATAGGGATTATGCAAGTTGGATGTTTAAGCGTGGTGTTGTGTGAATTGGCCCAGAGTCTGACTGCATGCAGAGTCTGACTGCATGCGTGCAGACAGCCACTTATTCTGGAAAACACGGCCATGCAATCTTTGAAATTAACACCCTTCCTCCTTGCTCATTTGCAACCTGGTGCCCACTGCTGCAAAGAACCGGGCAACCAAGAGCCAACTTTGCATAAACCACGCCCACCGCCTTGCAGACCACTCCCATCGCCTGACGAAAGCGGCGCGGCGACAAAACCAGAGAGAAGCTTCGCTTTAGACGCATGCGCCCTCGGCCCGCCCCTGCCACACCCTTCCAGCCACCGCACAGCGCGCAGGCGTACACAGCGGCCCGCTCCATTTCCTGAGGAAAGGAGGAGGCTGGGTCCTGCTTCCTGTTTGCTCACGTGTCCTTCCGGGGCAGGGTCGCCACCTTCGGGAGGGGTCGTTCCGGCCGGCTGTGAGAGAGAGAGGCACCGCGCTGAGGTGAGGCCTGTTCCTCCAGGCCGGCGAGTGATTATTATGGGATGGCGGGGGGGGTCTCGGAGACGGGAAATAGGGCGGGGAGGGGGTCGTCCGCCTCTCCCTTGGCCAGCTAGATTTCTACCTGCAGGGAGCCTGTGCTGTTTTCTCTCTCGGCGGGGGGAGCATAGGGGAAATCCCCCCTCCCATATTTGCTCTTCGGGCTGCTCGTAGTTCGCTCTAGGTCAGGGGTAGGCAACCTTGGCTCTTTTATGACTCGTGGACTTCAACTCCCAGAATTCCTGAGCCACCTATGCTGGCTCAGGAATTCTGGGAGTTGAAGTCCACGAGTCATAAAAAAGCCAAGGTTGCCTACCCCTGCTCTAGTCTAGGTCGTCCTAGGAGGGCGGGGCCAGCCCTTTCGGGGGGAGGGGCCAGGAAGCTGCCCGCCCACCTGATTGGTTCGTTTGGGTCCCTTTGGGAGGAGACATTGACGGGGGGGGGGAAGAGATTCCTCTGTAGGGGGGGGTCCTCAACTTTGACAACTTTAAGCTGGTTGGGGGATTCTGGGAGTTGAAGTCCATAAGCCTTAAAAATGGCCCAGGTTGGAGACCCCTGCTCTGTGTCATGACAGGTAGACCTCGACTTACAACGGCTCATTTAGTGACTGTGCGAAGTTGCAACATGGCACTGAAAAAAGTGACTTTTGCCCTGACGACCGGATCCTATCAGTGTTGATCTAAATATATTATCTAAATTCAGTTAGGTTCAAATCCCATTAAGTATGAGGTGTAAAACTAAATAGCTGAGCTCAATAGAGGTTGATGAATGAGAATCCTAGGACATACTTAAGCTTCATGACTTCTGTGATAGTCCTAAATAATTAACTCATTGATGAAATTACTAAATAAACTAATTCATTAAGTAAGTTGTTCATCCTGACAAATGCAGCAGATAATAATAATAATAATAATAATAATAATAATAATAATAATAATAAAGTTGGAAGGGACCTTGGAGGTCATCTGGTCCAACCCCCTGTTCAGGCAGGAAACCCTATACCATTTCAGACAAATGGCTGTCCAGTCTCTTCTTAAAAACTTCCAGTGTTGGAGCATTCACCACTTCTGGAGGCAGGTTGTTCCATTGATTAATTGTTCTAACTGTCAGGAAGTTTCTCCTTAGTTCTAGGTTGCTTCTCTCCTTGATTAGTTTCCATCCATTGCTTCTTGTCCTGCCTTCAGGCGCCTTGGAAAATAGCTTGACTCCCTCTTCTTTGGGGCAGCCCCTGAGATCTTGGAAGACCGCTATCATGTCCCCCCTCGTCCTTCTCTTTATTAAACTAGACATACCCAATTCCAGCAGCCGTTCCTTATATGCTTTAGCCTCCAGTCCCCTAATCATCTTTGTTGCTCTTCTCTGTGCTCTTTCTAGAGTCTCAACATCTTTTTTACATCGTGGTGACCAAAACTGGATGCAGTATTCCAAGTGTGGCCTTACCGAGGCATTGTGAAGTATTAATACTTCACGTGATCTTGATTCTATCCCTCTGTTAATGCAGCCTAGCACTGTGTTGGCCTTTTTGGCAGCTGAGGAGATGGTTTTCACCATCCTTTTATTCAAATGCTATGCTTTCTTGTACATGGACACCCCCTCCCCCCAGTTGATTCCCTTCAGCAGCAGCAACAGCAGAAACTCTGCAAAATCTGCTGGATTTAGGCTAAAAGTCCCAGAACAAAAATAGTGCTCAGCAGCAACAAGCAAACGATAACCTACTGGATGGAGCTCAGCTATTTTGAAATCTGCAGCTTGGCTTCCTGCTTAACCCTTCTGATGGGAAGTAGGATTACTCACAGTTTGTTTCCTCTAGGGCTTGAATAGGCAGAAAACTCACTTTCAAGGGACTATGATTAATATCCTTTTTAAAGCTTGCCCTGTAGCATGCTGTTGCTGGCTACACCCAAAACTGTGGTTGCCTCTCCTACCAGCGTTCCTCTTAGTTCTTCCAAAGAATCTTCTTGTGGCCTGACCGTTCACGATCCCTCTACCAAATCCCCTGGTTTGGACTGCCTCGCTCTGTCTGGGTGAAATTGAACAGAATTAGGTGTGATACTGGAAGAAGTGCCTCTGCCCTGTACCAGTGGGGATGGAAAGATTCCCCTTGTTGCAATTGTGGTGCTGATATACAAACTATTAAATATATTGTGCAAGATGGCACATGCCTTGTGTTCTTTGGTTCCCTAGAAGATCAGTTGTAGACCATTACAACAGAAACTAAGAAATTGCTGCTGCTTTGGCGTAAATGCACTGCCCAGTTTCTTTCGTGGATTAACTCGGATGCTAAATTAGGCCTTCATAGGAAGTCACTCCTGTCCTGACTAAGCACCTCTTTAACAGAAGCATATTTTGTAGTTCCTAACGTCTCCCACAACAATTCGGAACTCTGGATCAAGACGGAGTTGCATTAGCCCTCGAGGCAAAGCTGAGGATGGAAGGAGTGGAAGTTAAAGAGGAATGGCAAGACGAAGACTTTCCCAGGTAAGGCACAGCTGACTTGTTTTGGTTCACTTTTGTTGGAAAACGATGTTGGCAATTGATTGTATAATTTGCAGTGTGGCCTCAGGGCAAGGTTTTTAAAAGATGCATTTGTCAGAGTGGACTCATACGGCATTTAAGGAGCTTGACTGGATTGTAAGTGTACAATTTGGGTCTAGACTAATCTTCGTGGGGAAGTTTGGAAATCAGTTCAAAATGTATAAAAAGTTTCCTTGCCTATGAAACTGGGGCAGATTCTTACTCAAGGCACGGTGATGATAAAAATTAATGCAAGCTATTGCAATGACTTATTTATATGCTGATGGTAGTAGCAGTCCTGATTAGCAAAGATGTCTTTTACAGACCATTGTGGGAGGCTGTTTATGCAGCAAGGGTTATGCAGAAGGTGTGCAGATACCACAAGAACAGGTTGGACTTTTGTGCAGCCCTGAGGTGTTCATGTTAGTGTGTTATCCCCTGATAAATAGGACTCACAAGTGGTCTGGAGTGTGGAGATAGTTCTGCCCACTAGGAACTAAATTACATGTGAGCTATTGCAACTGTTAGTGTTACATAAAGGAAATAGGAAAGGAAGCAAGAGATCTTGACTACATTTAATGTCTGCCCTCTACCCCAGACCTTTACCAGAAGATGACCATATTGAAGCTATGTCTGGGCCAGCTGAAAGAGGAGACCAATCCGGTAAGTGCATCCATCTCAGTTGGAGTAGGTAATTTGATGCCCTCAAGATATTGTGAACTTGGCCCCGGGGCTAAGGCAGCTGAGGCAGATGGCGACGTCTCGTTTGCCGCTGTCAAAATAATTTCTTCAAATTAAAAATATGTCATATATGCTGTTTCATTTCATAGCATTTTCTCAAAACTGATTCAGGAAGAATAAGAAACTCTGGTGGGACACTTGATATATTCTGATGGTCCACTTCAGATTTTGTTTTGTCTGATATTCCCCTGGCCAGTTCCAGTATTGTAAAAGTGGGCGAAATGTTCTGATGTTGCAGTTCTCCAGTCTTCAAATACCTGCTTTCTGTAGAGTAGGGGTGTCTAACTTGGGCCACTTTAAGACTTGTGAACTTCAGCTCCCAGAATTCCCCAGCCAGCCACAATTCTAAAGTGGCCCAGGTTGGACACCCCTGCTGTAAAGGTTTTCAAACCTTGGAGAAGACTGAGGCAACCTTCCCAGGCGTGCTCTAACCTTGAAATTGACTATCATGATTATGAAAATGGTTTGAAATCAGACTACATTTAATAAGATCAGAACATTTCAGTAAGGTGGACTGGAGTGTTTAAGACCAGTAGCACTTGGGAATAACTAAGTAATAACTAAAGTTACATATATGATTTCTGCTGAAATATCAGAACTGGTTTCAAACAGAATAGAATTAGTCTTGTATTTAATTCTAAAACTGTTGAATATATAGTTAATTTCTTTGCTGAATGAGGTGCCAGTTTGATCTCCTTTTTAAAAAATAAAAGATTGTAACATAATGCTTATGTTCGATGGGCCATCAACAATTAGCCTTACTTATCAACACAAGTAAAGCAACTTTTATCTATCCACCTTCTATTAAATAATCTATCTTCTAGTTTTGAGGCTTCTTTTTCTAGCTTTGACATTTATCAAGGAATCACATGTTATCTTCCCCTACCTTTCAACCTATTAGAAATTAATGGCAACAAAGTTAAGAAGAAACTAATAGCTCCAAATATAAACTTGACTTTGGATCAGAGTGAAGAATCCATTTTATCTGGGTTAGAGGCAAGTGGAGATATTGACTTGGATGATATAGACACCCCCTCCGAGAACAGCAATAATGAGTTTGAGTGGGAAGGTAAGATTTATTTTTAAAAATAGCAATGACATTTTGTCCTTAGGCATGTTCCCTCTCGCGTGCTGCTGTTGATGAGCATGCTACTTTGTAGGGATATTTCCTATGCATTGAAACTGGGGGTGCAGAGTCCACGACTCCACTAATGCTTGGCTTACTTTGGGCAAGAGGGGGGTCCAGGTGGACATCATTGCAATAAGGTTTCTGTCTCTTCTCTTTTTAATGCCGCTGTCTGCATTTCCCTGGAAGGATAGTTTCCATTAACAGCCTTCTGTCCTTGGAAACAAACTACTAACTTGCTGAAGTAGTTTTTCCCACCTCTGTGGTAAGGCTTGCACTACTGAAATTCCTTTTGCAAAACCAGGAGGATGATTTAGTCCTCACTAGCCCCCCCCCCACGCCCCTCCCAGAGCCTGCATAGCTTTGATTGAAAGATTTGTCTATTTGCATGACTGCTGCAAATCAGGGCAGTGAAAATGATTTTGTACCAAACTTACAATCAGTGGGAAAATGATAGTTGAAGGGAAACCGTCTAGAGCTGTCAGTGTCTCAAAGAGTTTTCAGTGTCTGTCTGCACCACCCTAAATAATACGTTTTTAAAAAGGCCTTGCTTCTGGAATTTGGGCATCTCAAACTTAAATGCTGATTACTCTGTGTGGAGAGCAACTCTGATGTAGAGAAAATTAATCAGAATGAAACTCACATACATTGATTTTAAAAATCTGCAAGAGATTCCATGTTTTCAAAGAAAACGGTAACTTGATATTCCCAAGTATCTTGACTTTAAAATCATTCTGCTCAGAAACTGCTTAATTCCTTAATGCCTTGTTCATTTCTATAAGTGAATGTGGACCCTTCAAAACGTGAGCCTCTCGCTCTGAAAACTTAGCTGACCAACCCATCTATGCTGCTTGGGGAATTCTGGGAGTTGGAGTCCACCCATCTTAAAAGTTGCTGAAGTTGGGAAATCTTGGTCTGATAATGTAATGCTACTTCCAATCCTCTGTTTACATGGTGGCCAGATGACCTTCCAAAGCAGAAAAGCAGCGATGCCGTTCGGAAGGGCTCCCTGCTGGAATACACAGCATCGGAAGAGAAGGAGGAGGAACGGCGGTGGCGAATGTATCAGATTGGTGACCAAGGTCACCGAGTAGACATGAGGGCCATTGAGCCCTACAAGAAAGTGATTAGTCACGGAGGTGAGGGCTAACTTATTATAACGCTTGGTTCACTAAACAGGCTCTCTGCAACTGCAAGAAGCCTTAAGAAGAAGCATCATTCTGATTGTTATTTTTTTTCCCCTAGGCTATTACGGGGATGGGCTGAATGCAATTATTGTCTTTGCGGTTTGCTTCATGCCAGAAAGTAGTCAGCCAAACTACCGATACTTAATGGATAATCTGTTTAAGTAAGTGGTCTAGCAAACAGGTAACTCTGCTTTAATGTGGAGTCAGATTTTGATCCTTCTCATCTGCAATAATGGTTGTCCGAGGCCTGGGAGGAGCTGGGAGGGATATTCCATCATCTTCCTTACAGGAGAGGCTACAGATCAACCCACAGTTCTTGGCATGCAGAATACCACCGGGGCAAGACTCTCCCATCTGAAGAGTCTTTCTCATTTTCAAAGACTAGTAAGGGATCAGATTGGATTGTGAGTTTCTCTTGACCCTCATGGTGAGACAACTTGGAGATCATGGTTTGTCTATGAATCTCTTTGTGAATGCTCAACCCATTCCATTCTGTAGAAGGACCACCTTTTCCCAGTTACATCTACCTGACCCACCAGAGCAAAGAGGCCAGATATGTTATGGGTCCCTTCTCTTATGGAGGTCCATCTAGTGCAGGGGTAGGCAACCTTGGCTCATTTATGACTCGTGGACTTCTGCAACTCCCAGAATTCCTGAGCCAGCATGGCTCAGCTTGGAAACCTCTCCCTTTCCCATCAGCATGGCTGGCTCAGGAATTCTGGGAGTTGAAGTCCACAAGTCATAAATGAGCCAAGGTTGCCTATCCCTGGTCTAATGGGACGAAGAAGAAAGGCCTTCTTTGTGGTGGCTCCCTCCCTCTGGAACATCATCCCTGCAGAGATAAGATTCCCCCCCCCTTGATACTCTTTCAAAAGGTCCCGAAGACATGGTTTTGTGAACAGGCAGCGCTGGGAAGGCGAGCTCATATTTATGACCGTTGCTGTGTCCCAGGATCATGTGATCCCCTTTTGCAACCTGACCAGTGAAATCAATGGGAAAGCCAGATGTCTGCCCTTAACAGCTGGGATACTAACTTATCAACTGCAGTGATTCCCTTAACCACGGTGGCAAGAAAGGTCGTAAAATGGGGCAAAACCCACTTAACAAGTATCTCACTTAACAAATTTTGGGCTCTGTTGTGATTGTAAGTTGAGGACGATCTGTATTGTCTGGTCTTAGGGTGACTCAAGCTGCTGCTGCTGTGGGTGAATGCTGTTTCTCTCTCTTCTTCCCACAGATACGTTATCGGCTCCCTAGAATTATTAATAGCGGAGAGCTATATGATTGTTTATCTAAACGGGGCAACCACCCGGCGGAAGATGCCCAGTTTAGGTTGGCTCAGGAAGTGTTACCAGCAAATTGACAGGAGGTAAGATTAAATAGGGAGAGGGGGAAGTGGGAAAAGGCACAGCTAGCTGGAAGAGCAATATAGCGTTCTTTAAGGGTGGGAATTGGTAAAGAGGATCGGTCTCATCTGGGGGCTGGGATCACCAGGTAATTTTTCGGGAAGAGTGGTGTTGCCAACAATGTTGCCCTCCATTGCCAACATCTGTGTTGTTTTTATTGATCTTAGGTTAAGGAAAAACCTGAAGTCACTAATAATAGTTCATCCTTCCTGGTTCATTAGAACACTTCTGGCAATCACAAAGCCATTTATTAGGTAACGCACACAATGTTTATCCTTTCCTCTTTTTTTTTAAGCTAAGCATCGGCACAGTTAGTGCTATAGCGGTGACTGTTTTTCCTGTTCTCTTTCAGCTCAAAATTCAGCCAAAAAATCAGATATGTCTTTACCTTGGCAGAGCTGGCAGAGCTCATTCCCATGGACAGCGTTACCATCCCCGAATGCATAAAACGGTAGGTCACTTTTCTTGGGTGTCCCCAGCCCCCAAAGAGTGCCTGGAGGTTTAGGTCCGAAGGGCTTCCTTCCGTGGAGCTGGGATAGAGTCGTATGGATGACCACGTCCTCCAAACGTGGCTTATCTCCCAGGAGTTGCTTGTTAAATTGCTGGGGCTCTTGGGAGCTTCCTCAGAGAAGTCCCCTGCCCTGCCCAGATTCACGCCAAGTGATCCCAACCGCTGTGCTGTGCTAGGGATTCGGATTATTATGGAGGCTCCACGTCCATTCTTTCTAACTTAAGTTTGAGCCAACCGCTGCCAGGGATCCTGATCTCCCTTCCCAGGGGAGGGAGGGAGCATCGGAGATGCCCAGCTGCTGTGAATTTGGGAGGGAGACACACAACAGACTCTCCTACGGAGGGAGAAAACCCCCCAAAACTTTTGCTTAATGTCGTTTTTCTATGTTGGTGCTGGGAAGTGCTTGGCTAAATACATGCGGTTGACTTGGGTTTTTGCGAGTTTCAAAATCTGCACCTGCTGTACTAAAAATGAATTTTCCCTACTAAGGTATGAAGAAGAAAAATTTAAAAAGAAACTCCAAAGGTATCTGCCCTTCTTGATCAGGAATGCCTGCGTCTTCTCGCCTTTCCTGCGCTGGGCTGGCTTTGGGAAGGGGTGCGGCTGGCTGGGATGCCCACGGCATGTGGGGATGGGAATTCACTCTTGCAAAAAGCTTGCAGGGTGCTTGGACTAGCTCAGGGGTGGGGAACCTTGGCTCTTTTATGACTCGTGGACTTCAACTCCCAGAATTCCTGAGCCAGGAATTCTGGGAGTTGAAGTCCACGAGTCATAAAAGAGCCAAGGTTCCCCACCCCTGGACAAGCTTGTGCTGGGCTGCCCACATTGCTGCTTGTTTCGCAGAATGATAAGTGATCCCCAAAGCTGAGTCTTTGCTGTCTAATTACGTGTAGTCCTCAACTTACAACGGAGCCCAACATTTTTGTTGCTAAGCAAGACGTTTGTTAAGTGAGTTTTGCCTCATTTGACGGCCTTTCCTGCCACACTTGCTAAGTGAACCACTACGGTCGTTGACCCGGCTTCCCCCATTGACTTTGCTTGTCAAAAGGTCACAAAAGGGGATCATGTGAAACACACACACCCCCGGGACACTGCAACCGTCGTAAGTACATGCCAGTTGCCAGGTGTCCGAATTTTGATCAGGTGACCACGGGGGGGGGGATGCTGCGAAGGTCGTAAGTCTGGAAAGTGATCACTCACTTTTTTCAGTGCCGTCGTAACTTTGGTCACTAAATGAACAGTTGTAAGTTGAGGACCACCTGTGTAACACTAACCATCAAATCGAGAGCTGCAAATTGTTCCTGTTAAAATTGGGCAGCCACGGCTGCAAAACCCCTTCCTTAATTCCAGACGGAGGCCGATTGTGACTCAGCCTTGGCTCATCTACCTTAAAAGCTGGCGGAATTACTTCTTTCTTCACCTTGTGCTCTTTGCCTTGGCAATCCCTCCCTCCCCCTCCCAGTTTTCAATGCATGTGGAACATTTCTGGTGGGGCTTTTAACAAGAGTGGCCTGCTGATAAATACATCTTGACCACGCTATCTAATCTACAGCACTCATCACTATGGCTGATTAGCAAACCCCTTTGATCCAGAAAGTGCTGGTTGTATATAATTGCTGCAAATGCCTCCCTTTTTCTTCTTTGGAGGGACGGCTCAGAATATTGCAAACTTGGCAAAAACCCCAAAAGCCGATCCCATCTTCGGGGCACTCTCCCCAATGGAAGACGTGACCCCATATGCTATTGGGAAACACCCAGCTGGGCAGAAAGGAGGGATCAAACATGGAGCTAGCCTAGAGTCTCTGCGCAGCGCCAAAAGGGCTCCTGGCCAACTCCCCCCATGTTCCTTTGGAACTTTATCGAACTGCTCCCTGGAGCAGGCTGCCATACTTGGGAAATTCCTGTGCTGTAGGCAGAACACTTTAAAGCAATTATCTTGTACTCTGCACGTGTGAGCTTGGCTCTTTGCACCTGACCTATGCAGAGGTTGAGCACTTTGGGAAAAGTTGCACAGTCGGTTTCATTTCCCTGTTAACTATCACTGTTCAAAGTTCCCCTCAAGTCTGTAGGAAACTTCCTGCTTTAACTTGTATTAACTTGTTTCACTGCAATTGCTAAATAATAAGTTTTTTTTCCTCCTTGCAAAATATGACATGTTTTTCTTCTCTCTGATGAGCAGAATTGATCAAGAACTTAATGGGAAACAGGAGCAGACGTCTGAACAGTAAAAAAAAAAAAAGTGTTTTTGAATTCAAGCCGAGAGTGAAGAACACGCTGGGAGATTTGAGGTCCTGAAGAACGCTCTGGCCTTCTGCGTCCGGACTTGGCATGTTGGATGACGCACTGCTGAGTGGGTTTGCAAGTCCCAGGTGATGCTGACACTTCATAGTTGCCTTGATTATAACTTTTACACTGCAGTGTCACAAAGGCATCCTAGGAGGGGCACCCATTTTTGTATCGCGATGCTTATTCAGTAAGTATTTATATGCTTCGACGTTAAGGAGAGAGATCATATATATTTTTATGACTCTTCAACGCATATTTTATAATGTTCATCTGCAAAAAAAAAACACCTCTGAGACACACTAGCCCACCGATGACGGTTGTCATTTATTTAGGAATAAAATGCATGAGAATTTCTTATTTATGGTGAAATGCTTCTTGGCTAAGGAAGAGAGAAATGTAACTTGGTTATCTGCTAGGCTAGCAAGATCCTTTGCTGTTTCCACTGTGGGATGTGCCTAACCCTGGAGCTGGGTGTCCTCAGCACAAACTCAGTTCAGTCCAGGCCCTTCTGGGTTGAAACTCCAGTGTTTCAACTCTCTCTGTTGAATGTTGGGCTGGTGGAGGCTGGCTGGCTCTGGATGCCCAGGGAGTGACTTATTTGGGATATTGGGCGACATCCCAGAGCGGAACAGTGGTGGCCTCCACCCAGTCTTCCCCTTGCTACCACGGAGGGTATCTCGGCCCAGCTTCTGATGTGCCTTGCTGCTTTGCCGCCCAGCCATGTGGAGTGGAGTTCCAGAAGATGGTATCAGGATGTGACACTCAAGAGTAGAGAAAGTGTATCCAGAGTTAGGGGCAAGGAGAACGGCTTTGCCTACGGAGGCTGTTCTCAAGGGCCCAGCACCCTGGGTCTCTCGCAAAGCTTCCCATCTAAGGTGGAAGAAGAAGGCCAGGTGGTCATTTTGTACTTTGGAAGGCAAAGCTCTTGAAACAGCGCTTTCCCCCAGCACTAGATTCACTTTATACACCCTTTTGTAAAGGAGACGTGTGTGTGTGTGTTGCATGTTTTACCTGTTTAGACGAAACGGCTGCTTTAAGAGCGGCCTTCTCAATAAGGGCGGGGATGTGTCGTGTGCACTAATTCCTAGCGGGTTAATCATCAAAGCCATAGTGGAATGTAGCAGGAACGTTACGTTTTTGGAAAGCTTGGGCATCGCTCTTTAGAAATATTTTCATTTGTATTTAAATTTTGTGCGTGTTGTTAGCAACACAGCGTTTTCATGTTCCCCAGTGTTTATGGGGGGGAAAAATACCGCCCGTGTGTTGGTTTATAACCCAGTCAATAAAATATTTTTAACTAAAGGCTTTAATTGGGTATTTGTCATAAATGCTTAAATTTATTTTAAGGTGGCCGTATGGGGAAAATCCCATTTGTATCATCTAACAAACATAAATCTTCACACAACTGGAGGGAAGGAGTTGTTAAGCAAGACCAGAAGACAGAAGGGGGGGGGCAGTTGCATTAACTGGGTCAATGACAAAACAATGGCTGGTTCAGATGTTGCTTGAGAGCAATATGCTGTGGATTTTTCCTGGTGCTCCTGTAAAGGCTCTGAAGCGTGTGGCCCACGGGTTCAAATGCTAGACAGCAAAAGGGAAACACGAGGCAGAGAAAAACTACACTTGCTTCTCTTCTTTGCCCCTTTTTTATCGGAATGAAGGTTATCCTTGCTTCCCTGGCTGGGGGTTTGACAGAATCCCTGCAGGCTGCATAAATGGTGGGTGGGCGAGGCCTGTGCGGGATCCGGGTGCTCATCTGCTGGGCAACCCGGTGCCAGGAGGGTGGCCTCGGATTCACTGGAGACCCTGGAGCAGCGTTTGCTCCTTTTCTCCAGTTCGGGTTACAGCCAGGATCTCCTGCTGGCCTCCCATCCAAGGGCCAGCCGAGAAACCCTGCCTGTGGAGCGGCTGGGCTCCTCTGCGCACGTACAGAGCGCGTTTCCCTTGCGTTCCCAACGGGCAGCGCCCCCGCCCCCCCCCCGACCTGTCAAAGGCCGTTCCCGAAAGGCGATTCCCGCCGATTCGAAGCCGCCGGCTGCCTTTTCTGCGCGTGCGTCACGTTCGCTCGGCTTGCCGAACGCTCCTCGCCCGCCCCTTCCTCGGGAGCGCATGCGCGCGTGGTCGCCTTTCGCGCCTGCGACGCCGCGGCTCTATGGTCACGCCTGCGGCTGGCATATCGACTTCCGCTTCCGGGCCCCGTTCCCGGTGGAGTCGGAAAGAGGCGGGGATCGTACCCGGCGGCCCGTTTCTCCGCGTCGGAGGTCTGGAGGAGCCCGGCGGGCCCCCTGCGGGCGAGGGCCCCTCCCGGCTCAGGTAGCGCCCGGGCAGCCGCTCCCTCCCGACCCGCTCCCCTCGCTGCCCCATTTCGGGGGACCCTGCCCGGCCTCGGGACTCCGCGCCCCATCCCCCGCGGCCGGGCTCAGCGCAGGCCGCGCAGCTCGGCTCTGCCGGGGCCCAGACGCGTCTCGGGGCGGGCGGGGGGGTGCTCCTCCCGGCCAAACTCGCATGCGGAGGAGGAGCCCTGTGCACGCGTGTCCGTGGGCGCGCACGTGCCCAAGAGAGGCGGCCAGGAGTGGGGACCCGCCCTCCCCGCGGAAGGGGCTGTGGGGTTGCCGGGGACCCCCGACCCGGAGGGCCCGGGAAGGGCTGGCTTCCCAGTCCGAGAGAGGCCGCTGGAGAAAAAGTGCGCATGCGTCTCTCTGCCTGCCCTGCCCGAAAAAGGGGGGCCGGGAGGGCTCAGTGGGGGGGGGGTTGGGGGAACATCTGCCTGTGAAGCATCTTCCTGCAACCAGAGATGCACCCGAAGAAGCACCCGTGCATTACTTGAGCGCGCAGGTAGTCCTCGACTTACAACGGTTTAGTGACCGTTCAAAGTTACGACGGTGCTGAAAAAAAGTGACTTAGGACCGTGTTCCACACAACCGTTGCAGCCTCCCTGTGGTCACGTGATCAAAATTCAGACACTTGGCAACTGACTCATATTTATGACGGTCGCAGTGTCCCAGGTCACGCAATCCCCTTTGGCGACCTTCTGTGAAGCAAAGTCAGTGGGGGAAGCCAGTTTCACTTAACGACGGTATTGCTAACTTAATAACTGAGATGATTCACTTAATATCTACAGCAAGAAAGGTCGTACAATGGTGCAAAACTCACTTAACAAATGTCTCACTGGGCAACAGAAATCTTGGGCTGTATTGTGGTCGTAAACCGAGGACTACCTGTAATTTGAAGAGCAGGGTGTAGGCAGGGTTTAATCGACAAGGAAGCTAAATGGTGTTTGGTTCTTTTATGTGGTTTTTATTATAATGTGTGTTTTGTGAGGAAAAAGGAACTTTTTCTTGAACTGGCTGGAAGCTCTCTTATCTCAGGCTCTGCGTTGCGTCCATTATCCATCCTTCAGCCAGAATAACTGTTACCCTGGATTTTCCAGATCTTTGGTGAAAGTTTCAGATCTGTGGATGATCAGCATCTATCATGGCTTACCAACTGTATAGAAACACCACCCTGGGAAACAGTCTTCAAGAAAGCCTGGATGAGCTCATTCAGGTAAGAGATAAGCTCCTTCTTATTCCCATCCGTCTAAATAAATGGCTTAAGTAGTATGAACGTGATTTAAGTAGGTTCATATTAGTTTTGCTGTCAGAGATCAAAGCAATAAATACTGCTTAGGTGAAAACGTGTTAACAGTCCTTGCTTTTCCTCCATGTCATAATTGGAGGTGAAGCAAAGAGTAAGATGACATTGATGACAGCAGAGGCTTCACAAAGGAAGACAATAATCTTAACTGCCCAGTTTCTCAAACTCAAAACAAGGGTTTGAGTTCCGATGGACAATGTTTGCTAAGCTCATGAAGTTGTAATTTAAATGTCTTTAGAGTTCTGCGTTTGTACTGTGATGGAAGGGAATGAGAAAAACTAGTCATGTCAGTTGAAAATTTAAATTGGAAATTCTAATCTGTGCTCTGAAAGTTTTGGCTGTTTGGACAAACTTGGTACACCAATCAGTGGGTGAATATCCAAACAAAGTTCTGATTTTAGGCAGATGAATGTTTGTTTTTGGAGTTTATAGTTTTCTTATTCAATCTTTCAGTCTCAGCAGATCACTCCCCAGCTCGCTCTTCAAGTCCTCCTACAGTTTGACAAAGCTATCAATGCTGCATTAGCACAGCGGGTCAGAAACAGAGTCAATTTCAGGGTAAGAAATGTTAATTAGAAATCATGGGGATGCTGCAGTGGTCATAAGTGTGAAAAATGGTCCTAAGTCACATTTTTTTCAGCGCTGTTGTATAAAAATAGCTGCTTAAAAAGCAGCGAAAGTAATGAGATATTATGTAAACCTTCCAAACCCTGGGATGGCTGTGTTTCATGCCTTAGTTGAGCAGGCTGAGCACCAATTACAGATACATTTATGAATAGTATTGAGGATGGAACATCCATTGCTTAGTGATGTGGTTGATTAGCGTGTGGCATCTCCGTTATACATACATTATACCAGTGGTGGCGAACCTATGGCACGTGTGCCAGAGGCGGCACTCAGAACCCTCTCTGTGGGCACGCACACCACTGCTTCCAACAGCTTGCGCAGGTCCATTAGGCTGCTGCCGCCGCCCAGAGCAGCAGCCCCACCAGGCACAAAGGAGGCGAAGCAGCCAGCTAGCAAGATCAAGTAGAGGTGGTAGAGCACACCCACACCCAGCAAGCCAAAGGCCACCCCGAGCAGGGAAAGCTGGATCCTCATCGGCGCCATGGCCCCACAGTCCCAGTTAGGATTGCTGGGCCTCCTGCCCACCGCCCCACCCGCCAGAGACCCCCTGCATCTCCCCCAACCCTGCCCGGCCCCGGCAGGCATCCCCTCCATGAGCAACATCAAGGTGGCCATGCCCACTCCAGCCACGCCCACCCAGTCTGCCGTGACAACCGCAGCCATGCCCACCCAGTGGGCCACGCCCCATGCCCCCCTGAGGGCACCACAATGCTGATGCGGCCCTGGCACTTTGACATAAATAAATGGGTTTTGGGTTGCGGTTTGGGCACTTTGTCTCTAAAAGGTTCGCCATCACTGCATTATACAATACAAATACAAGTTTGAATAAAATATCAGAAAATACGAACTACATGGCCAGAGATAAAGTATTAAATTAAGGTGAAACCATGATGAAATCACTTTAATATGGCGCCGTAGAATCGCAACAGGATAGAAGGCTGACATCAGTTAAGATAACAAAAGCAACAATATTCTAAAATTCCCCCAAATTCTCCTGCTCCACGGTCGTTCCTTTGATGACCACAAGGGGGCGATAGAGCTACGTCCTTTTCCAGAATGGCTCCCTGCCTCAATCGGGAAGGGAAGAAAACTCAGTTGCCCAATTCAACAGGTACTGTTTGGTTTTTCCCTTTTCCTAAGCGCCCCCTCCATTTTCTCTTTTCTTTCCCCCCCAAAGGGCTCTCTGAATACGTACAGGTTTTGCGACAATGTTTGGACCTTCGTACTGAACGATGTGGAATTCAGAGAGGTCACCGAGGTGGTGAAAGTGGATAAAGTTAAAATCGTGGCCTGCGATGGGAAAAGTAAGTTTGGGAGTTACGTCTGTCTCTCTCTCTCTGGGACTCTGTTTCTCAACCTCAGCCACTTTAAGCTGGGTGGACTGCAACTCCCAGAATTCTGGGAGTTGCAGTCCACCCAGCGTAAAGTGGTTGAGGTTGAAAAAGTCCGCTCTAAGGATATTGAAGCCAGGCAGATCCATGATTGCTTCCCTTTTGAAAAGTGGATGTACAAATTGCAGCTCCAGGACCGTTTTAATCTTAGGCAGGTTTGTCTTTAATCTTGAACATACCTGGCATTAGCTGAAGGGGATTTGTTAGGAAGAGTAACAACATCTTTACTTACCCTTTGGGCTGCCAAAATCACCAAAGAACAGGTATCCTGAAGCTCACTATCCTATTAATACAGAGCCTCATTGTGTAAACTCGCCGGCTCTTTTCCCCCACCTGACTGCAGTTGTTGAATGTGGCTTTCAGCAACACAGGGTGAACCCTGTTGCCATTCCGGATGCGCAAACCTCTTGAGCTGTGTATTTGCAGAAGTGCTTCCTTCCTTCTGACAGATCCACACACCGTGACCGACTTCCTTTTACCTATTTGTCCTGAGCTGTGACAGCAAACTCTTGGATTTCATACTGCGGTTTCCATTTTTGCCATGCTGCTGGAAGGCTGGATCTGTTTAGATCAGGGACTTTATATTTATAATTGTCAAAATCAAAACTTAGCTCCGGGTGTTGACCTGAACAGGGTGTTGGGTTTTTGGATGCTTTGTCTCACTTAGGATTTATCTTTACGGACAAAGAATTTATCTTTACCAAGTTATGTGCTGTTTAAGGGTGAAGGGGAAAAAAATCTCATTTAGGCCAAAGGAAATTAAAATTGTTTCTGAGTTTAATGATTCAGGACACAAGTTCTCCATACTCCTAGTTAAAATACAATCGTATAGTTAATTTGACCTTTGGATCTTGAATAACGTCACATTACTACTACTATTAGTAATGGTGGCGTAGTGGTTAGAATGCAGTATTGCAGGCTATTTCTGCCAATTACTAGCAGTTCAAGGTTGACTCAGCCTCCCATCCTTCCGAGGTCGGTAAAATGAGGACCTAGATTGTTGGGGGCAAGAGGCTGACTCTGTAAAACCTCTTAGAAAGGGCTGTAAAGCGCTGTGGAGCAGTATATAAAGTCTAAATGCTATTTGCCCTCACCTTCCTAGGGTGAGAGTGATGGGTCCAGATTCATCCAGTTGCCTTTGGGGCTGACTGGAACTCACTGTCCTCCGATTTCTAGCCTGGTGTCTTAACCACAAGACCAAACTGGCTTATTAAGAATAAATAGTCTTAAATTCCTTCTATGTAGCTTTAGTTTTTGAGCCGTGTTTCTCACCTGATGTTCTCCTTGCCTCCAGATACGGGTTCGAATGCTGCGGAGTGAAGGGGGATTGGGGCCTCTGAGCCCACGCGGATGTGATGGGCAGGGCTTCCCGGGGAGCAGACTGGACAAAGAAAGACTCTGTCGGGAGTTGTTTTAATAATGTAGGCAAAGCTCACTTTTTCTGGAAGGCCTTGTGGAACTATCTTAGCAAGGTCCCATAAGGCACCTCCGGGCGTTGGGTCGGTGATGAAGATAAGCAAGCTTGCTTTTTTTAAAAAAGAGGATCAAAAATAAGGATGAAACATACACAGCTACTTTTGGGTTCATCAAGGTCACCAATAAATATTTTATTTAAAACTTTTAGTGGCGTGAAAAGTATTGAATCCTCTTCCTACCGGTACGTACGATCAGCTCTTGATGGATTCACTTGTTTTTTCCCCACTTAAAATCTCAGGGCTTTGCAAATGTAATATCTATATCTATATATATAGATATAGATAATTTTAGCTGTATTCGCCACCTGTATTCATTCAGTGTTGGGATTTTTACCAGCTCCTTTTTAAAATTAACAATATTCAATCAAGGGAGAATTAACAACCCAAGTTTAGTCTTGAATCCCAAACTGGGAGTTCAGCAACCGGAATTCTGCCTTTATGGACTCATCCGAGCATCCTGAGTAGCAATGAGGGAATTGACATGTATTTGCAACAGAAAGTAAGCATTGTTACCTGGAGCTGCACATTTTTCTGTTGCTAATGGGAATGTTGGTTGTTCTCAACTCAGTAAGATTTCTCAGATAAGATCTTCCCTGGCTAGTTTCTGTCTTGTTGCTAAATTGTTCAATCATTTTCCTCTGTCATAAGGCAGCTGCTTGATTGTGGGCATAGCAACATACTTAATTTCCAAACATGAATATCCTTTGTGCCCTCTTGACAAGGAGATCGGCTTCAAGGCTAGGCACAAATGGTTTTCTCGTTCACTTTTAGGACTGCTTTTCCATGAAGGTGTGCTTGGGCAGCAGCGGAATCCTTTACAAAAGGCTTAAAACTGGTCCTCGTTTTCTGCATGCAACACTTAGCAACACTTCACCAAACAAACCTGGAGATCTAATGGCTGCCGGATGTAGTAGATTACTGATTTTTTAAAAAAGCTTTGGCCAAGTGGAAATTTCTTGAAAGTAAAAACCTACATTACTGTGACAGGTGCATGAGTGATGTGAAAACAGGTTGCCCTGCTTCAGAATGACTTTACAAATTTGTAAGTCTAAACCACAGTTGCAGAAGCTCATGGTAGATAGAATGAACTACGATTGATTGTCCCTCATTTGTTTCTTGGCTGCCTTCTGTCCTAGCAGACAGTTGCCCTCTTCTTGGGATCTTCCAAGCTGTCTGCTGGAAACATGGAAATTGACATTTAAATTCACTCTTGCTAAAGCAGGAGTATCCAATTTTGGCTACTTTAAGCCTTGTGGACTTCAGCTCCCAGAATCCCCCAGCCAGCATGGGGAATTCCTGGAGTAGAATCCACAAGGCTTAACCTGGCCAAGTTTAGACACCCCTGCTCTAAAGCTTACATCATAATGACCCAATACACACACACACACACACACACACACA